GAGAAAACAATGTGACCGCCGGCGTGGGGGAGGTGGGGGGAAAGGTAGTGGTGTTAACAAAGCCAGGGACAAGGGAATAACAAGTGATCCATATCGGTGTTAGGACGGTGTGGGAGGCCTGATAGGGCGTGAACAAGGGTTATGTAACTGAGAGGAATTACTGTAACCCAAATGAAGGTTGAACATGATAGTGGGACAAGAGGAAAGTAGAAGGAAATAGAGGAAAGAGCTAGGAGGCAAGGGGCATTTATAGAGGTTTAAATAAAGGTATGTACATATGTAAATATATTTATGAGGGTGGGGAAATAGATCTATGTGTATATATTTATAGGTTTAGTATTAAGGTAGCAGATAGACATTGGGCCTCTACTCAAGTACTCCCTCAATTCAAGAATACTTTGTTCTATTAAACTGGCATTCCATGATGCTCACCTTCCCCGACATGGTTGCTAAAGACGAAGTGGGTGCGTAGGCAAATGTGAAGAAAACTGATGGTGTCAGGCTATCAAAAGATAGAGTGTCCGGGGTCTTAAAGGTTAGAAGGTAAACAAGCGGCCATATAGCCCAGAAGCAACAAAGCTCACATGGAAGAAGCACACCAGCATGTGTGATCACGAGGTGTCGAAGGGATGAGGTATCAGGCATCATCAGAACAAAAAGTCATAACATTGTGAATGTAAGCAACTGGATGCCTCCTTGTGGAGGGGTTGCGGGGAGGAGATGAGCCAGTCAGGGTGCAGTGTAGCAACGATGAAGCATACAACTTTCCTTTAGTTCTTAAATGCTTCCACCGTGCCCTCCCCCCACCCCCCTCCCCCCTATCATGATCCCAATTCTACCATACAAATCTGGCTAGAGGATCTACACTGGTACAGATAGGAACTGGAAACATAGGGAATCAAGGACAGATGATCCCTTTGGGACCAGTGGTGAGAGTGGCGATACCGGGAGGGTGGATGGAGGGTATGGTAGAGAGGGGGAGCCGATTATAAGTATCTACATATATGGGGGATGAACAACAGAAAAGTGGGTGAAGGGAAACGTCGGACAGTATAAGATATGACAAAATAATAATTTATAAATTATCAAGGGTTCATGTGGGAGGGAGGGGACAGCGGGGAGGGAGGGGGAAAAAAATGAGCTAATGCCAGGGGCTTACGTGGAGAGCAAATGTTTTGAAAATGATGAGGGTAGCGAATGTACAAATGTGCTATATACAATTGATGTATGTATGGATTGTGATAAGGGTTTTATGAGCCTCCAATAAAATGATTAAAAAAGAAAAGAATATAGTTTGCCCAAAAACAAAGGTCAGAGGCAGGAAAGATGAGTGATTGGAAAATGGCCTAAGGGAAGAAGAACCATTGCTGTTGAAAATTGAGGGGATTTCAACTAATGTCACAAAACAAAATATATCAATTGTGAAATGGTAAAACCCTTTGCTTGGTAAACTTTCATCTAAACCATCATAAAATGTTCAAAATAAAAAACAAAGAAAGTTAAAAACAAGATTCAGTCAACTCATTATTCTAGTGTGGCATGATAAATTACTGTTTTTTAACAACTTTAGATTTAGAATTTGGTAATAGGAAGCATTCTCTATTGAAAATTTTGGATTAGCCTTGGTCCTGGATTGTTTTGCTTGATGGCTCTAGGCTTTTTTAAAGGCAGTTTACTATATAATGACTATGAGAAGAATATACTCTGGCATTGTATTGTATTTACCGCTTTACTGAGAAGTCCTGGTTCGTTTGAAGTTGTTCTATCCCACTACCACCCTCCACTCTTACAAAAGGATAACAGACATTAGAAGATTATTTCATTGTTCTCATTTGGGGTTATTGATTTCTCAGGATTTTTAGATATAGAGAAAAAGGAAATTTAAGTATTACTCAGGAGAGACCCCAGTCCCTGAAGAAGGACATCATCCTTGCTAAAGTAGAGGGACAGTGAAAATCAGGAGGACCCTTGACAAGATAGATTGACCCAGTGGCTGTAGCACGGGGCTCAAAAATAAGAAGAGTTATGAAGGTGGCGCAAGACTGGCAGTGTTTTGTTCTGTGTATGTAGAGTCTCTATGAGTCAGAACGCCCTCTAAGGCACCTGGCCGCAAGAACAACATGATTTTCATATTCCTGAAGAGTGCTTCCTAACTTCTTCATACTTGTTTCCTTGCTTTTATTCCTCCTGGGACCAAGCACTTTGAGAAAGTTGTATTAGCCTGGTACATGGACAGAATGTTCAAGCCAACATTATACATGTATATCCAGTACTGTGGCTTAGGGGATATACAATCTGTTACTGTCTAGAATGCATTCTGACCTGGAGCATTTTAGTCAGCATAGCTGTACAATTACTTTGTGTAAAGAACTTTGTATTTTCCATCATAGAGGATGAAAGTTATAAAAGTGTAGTGAACTTGTCTTACTGGACAGAAAGCCATCAAATGCATAAGAAATCTGGAGGGTTTTTTTTTTTTTTTAAATAAAAGATCATTTTACTGGGGGTTCTTAGAGCCCTTATAAAAATCCATACATCAGTTGTAGCAAGCATATTTGTGCATATGTTGCCATCATTATTTTCTAAACACTTTCTATTGAGCCCTTAGCATCAGCTCCTCTATTTTCCCTCCCCACCTACCCTCGTGACCCCGTGGTTAGTTATAAATTATTCTTATTTTCATATCTTAACTCTGACGGCTATCTCTCATCCCCACATGGTTTCTGTTGTTCGTCCACCTGGGGAGGGTGGGGTTATGTGTCAGTCATTGTGATTGGGTCCCCCTTCCCCCTCTCCTCCCCACCTTCCCCCTACCTTCTTGATAGTGCTACTCCCATTTCTGTTCCTGGATTCTCTTACTTTTACCTGTGCACATGATCCAGTCTAGCCCACAGTGAAAGGCAAGACTGAGGTCATGATAGTAGGGATGAGGAAGCCTCAAGGCACCAGAGGAATATTGTGTCTTTCATCAGGGCTATACTGCGCCCTGGTTGACTCATCCCGTCCTTGTGACCCTTCTGTGAGGAGATGTCCCCTTGTCTCCAATGGATTTTGGGTCTCTGCTCCAACCCACATCGTTATCAACAATGTGTTTTTTTATTTGTTCGTGTGTTTTGAGTCTTCTGATGCCTGTTATCTGATTCTATCGTCACCTCATGATCGCACAGGCTAGTGTACTTCTTCCATGTGGGCTTGTTGCTCCTCTGCTAGATAACTGCTTGTTTAATTTCAAGCCTTTAAGACCACAGACACTATCTTTTGATAGCCAGGCACCATCAGCTTTCTTCATATTTGCATAGGGAACATGAGGGTGAGCATCACAGAATGCCAGGTTGTTAGAACAAAGTGTTCTTGCATTGAGGGAGGGCATGTGGAGAGGCCCAAAGTCTGTCCAATACCTCAGGGTATTGCCATATAAATATATGTACATAGGCCAATACCTCTATTTTTATGTAATGTATTTATATGTGTACACACCTATGCTTATACTCTATCCATAGCTTTTCTTCCTCGATCTTTCCTGTTTCTTTTTACCTTTCTCCTGCCCCACCATCACACTCGCCCTTCTGCCTCTTAGTTATTCCTCTCAGCTACATTGTTGTTGCTCTGACATCTCCAGGTCTCTACATCTTTCTTGTTGTTGATTTTAATTCCCTACTTGTTCCTGTCTTTGGCATTGTTTGCTCCCTGCCCCGTTCCTCCAGCCCCTCCCCCCAAATCGCTCTGGAACCATCAGTTCAGTTGCTTTCTCCTTGAGCTTGCTTTCCATGCCTATCTAATATAAGTAGGCAAACCAACAATAACAGAGACCAAACCAAAAATTGAATAAAAGGAAAAAAAGATAATAACTAACCAAAAAATGCATAATCCAGATCTATCCACTGACCTGGGGGAATTCCGGGAGCTGCCCCTCCTGGCCTGAAGTCTACTTGGGGGGCTCCTCAAGGGCTTTGTTGCCACCATGTGTCCCCAGTATTGTCCTGTGTCTGGGTGTGCTCCAGTGAGGGGACATCATGTATTGAGCTGTTGTTGGTCCTACAGTCCTCTCTCCATGCAGGAACGTCGTCCTCCAGACTTAGTGTGCCGATAGGGGGTCTAGACCGTTGCTCTCTCTCTTTTGCTTCTTGGTTTGCTTCCATGTAGTTGTGGCATATTGGCCCCTCTCCCCAATCTGTAGGCTTACTATTGTCCTTTGTAGCACAACTTCTGGATAGGGGGTCAGTTTGGTTTTGATTGGGGCCAGCCTTGTAGTTGGAGGGTTTTTAAGGCTGTGGCCCTTCTCTGTTTCTGCTTATTTATTCCCCTTTTATTTGTGGAATATAACACATACAAAGAAAAGCATACTATAAGTAGTTGCACAGCCGGTTGTACCAGAGCTGTGATGGTATTCTAGTAAACCCCACCTATGTGTAGTTTGTTCTTGCTCTTTTCCAGCCCACCCCCTTTAGCTCTGGCTCTCCCTCTCCTCACTCATCAGTCTTCAAAATCTTTTCCTTTAGTTTGAAACAAATTTTTCCTCTCTCATAATGGTGTCATGAAATGCTTATTTTTATGAGATTGACTAACTTTGCTGAGCATAATTTCTTCTGATCTTGCCCAGGTTATGACGTGTTTGACAGGCTCGTCATTCTTTTTTCAGGATGTATAATCTTCCATTGGGTGTCTGTATCAGAGTTTGTTATTTATCCATGCCTCCACATATGGGGTCTTATTTCCCAAATTATCTATGAAACTATATTACTTTGGGGTTTGCAACAGAAAACAAATGCTGTTACTTTAGCTGTAGCTTGTACTGAGTACACAAAGTAGAAAGGGTAAGGAATCAAGGTTAGGTGAAATTAATCATGGAAAGCTTTCTGGGAAGAGCCTTTCGTTCATGGGCATTAGCCAGTCCCCGGCCGAGTCAGGAGCATTGCTCCATTTCTTGTGTCTGGTTAGAGTCTCTCAGTATCATATGTTAGCAGTGTAAAAGTAGAAGAATAATATTTCCGTTTTTACAGGTTGCTTCATGTGCGGAACGGAAACTGCAAATATCATTTAGGTGAAGAAACGTTTAAGTTAGCTCAGACGTTTATGGATAAATTGTCAACACATGGCCAACAAGCAAATAAAGCCGCACTCTATGGGGAATTGTGTGCACTCCTGTTTGCAAAAAGTCACTATGATGAGGTGAGTGGTTTAGGTTTTCAGCAGTCTTATTAGCACATAGTTTAGAGATCATACATTGAATCGTTCACGTGAGTGAGTGTTTTGAAGTGAATTTCGTTGTGACAATATGAACCTGTAAAACAGGATGATGAGTAAAATAATCATCTATTTGTGCAATAAATGTCATTTTCACAATTTAGTCTTCCAGCAATACACAATTGTAGTTGAATAAGGTTTAACAGAAGTATTCCAAGCGATTGATTTTTTTTTTTTTTAATTTCATGAACTTTTGAAGCCCTCTCAGACATGTAAAACTTAAAGACTGGTTTTTTTAAGCAAATAGATCTCTACCTAAATTGTTTTAATGGGCTTGCTTGGTCAAATGAACCTTTAATGATTGTGTTCTATTTAAAATGTAAATAATTAAATAGATAAAATGAAGCTCTAGTTGGACTCTCAGGACTTTTAGTGGGGAGCTAAGTTTTATGTATATTATATTGCATTACTTTGCTCCTTCCCCTGCCTCACACTAAAAGATAGCTTCAATTCTAGTTTTACACTATTAAATTAATGCTTTGGTGTTAATAAGCCCATAGTTGGGAAATCCTCTGTGGGTACTTAGATTGTTTATTAGTGGAAGAATCTAATTATTTCACACTGTCAGAAAGTTGTCATTAGTTTTCCTATTTTAAATTATCCTTATCTTGATTTTCCTAGTTTTTTGTTCCATGAAGATAAATGTACATTTATATATCAAATCCATTGCCCTTAAGCCAGTTATGACACATAGCAACCCTGAATTCCATCTTAAAGGAAAATTGCAATTAGAAGGAAACCAGAGATTCTAGAATAATTGTACGGTGGTGTTTATGTGACACAGATGACAGAATCATTTCTGTGTTTATTATCTACCTCACTCTTGGTCTTTGCAGCTGCTAAGAGCAGTTCATTCTCATGGTTGAATGTATGACTTTAATTCCAATACATTTCCACTCTTAATTTTATTTCTAATTGTAGATAGAGTATTTTGTTTGATCCTAACCCCTAGAGCAGGCGTCCTCAAACTACGGCCCGCGGGCCGCATCCGAGGACATTTATCCGGCCCGCCGGGTGTTTTTGCCCCGTTTTGTTCTTTTACTTCAAAATAAGATCTGTGCAGTGTGTCATTTAGTAGAATCTGACTCATGATGGCCACGTGTGGGTCTTCTTGATTATAACTCTTTACAGAAACATTACCAGGCTTTCATGGTGGGTTCACCTCTAGGTTAGTAGGCAAGCACACACCGTTTGCCACCCAACGGACCTTTTCTCTCTTTGCATAAGAACTTAGCCATCTCTAGTTCTACTCTCATCATTTCATCCCCTAATATCTTTACTGCCCTTTGGAACTCCACGATTTTCTATCTGTTAGAGCAATTTATATCTTGTTATCCTCTATACCTATATCCAGCTCCAGGCCCATCCGTCTTAATCTGAGGTCAGACCCACTCAGCAGAGCAAACGTGTCTTTTATTTAAGTTTCCATTCTTTCTGTAGTGAGCAACTGAAATTTAACCAGCAGTTACTTTTTGCACTTCGATTTGGAGGTTTGTAAGTGATTAATTGCTAAAATGGCAAACCTCTCTGTCTTGGGAAAAGTGCAGCCAGTATGCTCCTTAGAGCATAGGAATTTGTTCATAGTTTTTTTTAAACTGTAGTCTGGCCCTCCAACGGGTTTGAGGGACAGTGAACGGCCTGGCCCCCTGTTTAAGAAGTTTGAGGACCCCTGCCCTAAAGCTGGTCAGATCTCACAAATTAAATAGGCACAGTCCTCCAGACTTTCAAGTCTGCTCTAGACCTTCAGATGCCGGCAGCAAACTTGCAGCCCATGGCCCCTCTCACTTCTTCCCTTCTGTCTTCTCTAGTTTCTTTGGTTTGATTATTCACCAGAGCAACTCACATAACTCAGGAAAATGCTTTACGTACTGTTGTGAGTTGCCATCAAATCTACTCCATTCCCATGTGTCTCAGAGTACAACTGTTCCATAGAGCTTTCTTTGCTGTAATCTTCACAGAAGCAGTTTGCCAGATCTTTTGTCCCATAGTACCCGTGGGTGGTACAGATCACCAACCAACCATTGGATTGGTAGTCAAGCACAAACCATTTGTGCCACCTCGGGAACGTCAAAATTGTTATAGTTATTACAGTTTTATTGTAGCAGAAAGGATACAGATACAAAGACTACTTTCAGCAAGGTATTAAGGAGCCCTGGTATGCTCTGTCAGGTAAACATTGGCCTACTAACCAAAAGGTCAGTGGTTCAACCCTCCCAGCCCCTCTGCAGGAGAAAGAGGAAACAATTGCTCATAAAGATGGACTGCCTCTGAAACCTCCCTTATGTGGATAGGGTCACTCTGAGTCAGAATCAACTTGATGGAAATGGGGTTGGGCTTTATTACACATTCGGCTCTTTTTCAGGTGAGAAACCTTGACCCAGGCAGTAGCTTGGTGGAATACAATGTCAATTTGAGGATCCATGACTTGACAGTCCTTTCTTTGTGCCTCATGCTGTGTCTGTATCACTCTTTGTGATGCTAGCTGTTGTTTAGGTGCACAACCAATGGCTTTAAATCTCTTCCTTTGTACAGATGCATTGCCAACCACCCGTTCTGAAAAATGCTCTTCTTAGTGACCCTCCGGACCCCTGGTGGAGTTGTGGTTATGCACTGGGTTGCTAACTGCCAAGTCAGCAATTCGAAATTGCTATAAAAAATCCCAGTGTCGGAAATACACAAGGGCACTTCCAACCTGTCCTACAGGGTTGCTATGTTAGAATCGATGCTGTGGCAGTGAGCTTTGAGTGAGTGGCCCTTTCTCATGATCTTTCAGGAGTCTGGTGGTACTAATCACATAGCTACTACCCCAAAAAGTTGATGGTTCATCATCCACCAACAGCTCCCCAGGAGGAACATGGGATAGCTTGCTTCCGTTACAATAGCCTTGGAAGGGCTCTGGGGCATTTTTACTCTGTAAGGTCTATAAGTTCACTGTGAGTGGGACTGCCCTCGATGGCATTGTGTTTTCAATGACCTGTCTGTCTCTTTCTTTGTAGTAGTTACTAATATCCAAAATACTTACTGTATACTATTTTCCTTTCTTTCATTAAGCATTCTAAGAGGAAGGGCATTTTCACCTGTTCCTCATTGATACCCAAGTGTGATACTGCCTGCCACTTTCTCACATAATCATAGGGATAGTATGTCAATTAAATGTGCTCATGTACATGAAATGCTTAGAAGAGATGACTGAAGAAACACTCAACTACACAGGCAGTTAAAATAGAAATGCTATAGGAAGAGCTCTGGTGACGAGAATGGTTAAGTGCTCAATTGGTAACTGAATAGTTGGCAGTCTGAGACCTGGAGCTTACTTCCATACAGGCTACAGCCCCAACCATCCAATGAGCAGTTCCACCCTGTCACATGGAATCACTGGGTCACAACTACTCAACTACAGCCTAACAACACAGTAGGGCAAGTATGGGAAAATACAGAAAAACCTAGTCTAGGTTAGGTGAGCTAAGAGGTTGGAGAAAGGTGGGAATGCATTTTAAGGCAGAGGGAGCAGTATGTGCAAATGCTTCTGGGCAGAAAAGAACTTGCCTTTGATTTCCTGAATATATGTCCCATAATCCCAAGTTCTGATTGTTACAAGAGATAGTTTTGAAATATTTAACAAGAGCCTTTCAGTTTTAACATGAGCATTTGGTGTGTGTTCTTAATCAAATATTTGAAAGCTTAACAAGAAAAAATTTTGCCTCTAATTTTTTTTCTCCTTAAGGCATATAAATGGTGCATTGAAGCAATGAAAGAAATTACAGCTGGCTTGCCTGTCAAAGTTGTAGTAGATGTTTTAAGACAAGCTTCTAAGGTGAATATAAATTTAAATTAATTTTAGAGCTTATCAGGTTTTTCAAAATTAGCCTATTCTTTAACAAACTCGTTATTGCATTTTTTCCCACAGAGTAACAAGATCCATTTCTAAATAGTTCAGTTTTAGAAATCTAAGTTTCTAAGAATTCTCTTACAGACTTTAATTTTCTTTCACTTAGAAAACCGTTCACTTTCAGCTCACAGAAAAATAAATGTCAAAGTAATGTATCGGGGCTATTCTATCTTGAGTTTGTTTTTCTTAAGCCTTTACAGTGATCTAAATTCCTTATGCCAAAGCTGTGTGTGTTTTCTTTTGACAGGTAGCCTGTTATTATATCTCAGTCATAGTATCGCAGATGCACAGATTGGCAGCTTTCTATACTTGACCTGATGGTCAGTCCTTCTTTGATTTTTGTCTAGATTATCTTGTTCAGTGCATAAATACTTGAACTCTTTTAGGCCATTGAGTAGTAGTTAATATTACTACTATGGTGCCCTGAGGCCTGAAAGCATTAGGGTGCTTTTCAAATACTATTTCTGCCCACCGGTTGCTAAGTTTTTGATATTTCAGTTTACTGGCTGAGATAACAGGAATTTCAGTCAAGATTGTCGATTGAGAAGAGGCCAAGATTTCAGGGAAGTAGCAATTCAGTCCTTTTAGCACAAGGAAACAGCAGAAATAATGCAGAGTTGTAAAAGGGTTTTTACTATCTTTTTAATTATTTCAAAACATGAAACATTTGATATAAATACAGCAAAATTAAGGTTTACATTCCTATGTGCAATTTACGTTTATAATTTTAAAACAATTGCCTGTCCTCATCCATTAATATATTTTAAGGAAAAAATTTGAAATTTTGTATACTTAACAATTATTAGATACAAGCTACAAAAGATGGTTGCAAATAATTATAGAACTGAGATGCAAATACCTTATAAAATAACATTGTGATTTCCCCCTACGCCCCTATATTTTAAAAACGGAGGAATGAGAGTGTATTAGCTTTGTATGATAACTTTGTTTTCGTATGTTTGTATTAGGCATGACTGTCCAAGCCTTCTCTTTTGTTTTAGAGTATCTACAGGTGTGTGTATAATAGGCTTTTTCAAGTACTTGGAGGAAAGTAATTCTAAAGAGAACCTTTTGGCCATAATAGTCTGAGTAAATAATCTATACTTACTATGCAAATTACCTGTTTTGAGAGCTGTGTAACAATTTATCTTTTTATCTCTAGGCTTGTGTGGTAAAACGTGAATTTAAGAAAGCAGAACAGTTGATAAAACATGCCGTTTATTTGGCACGGTAGGTGATTATTAATAAAAAATGCTACTTCAAATAGTCTTTCTACTTTATGTACTAATAGTTATTTGTTTCCTTTTTAAATAGGGATCACTTTGGATCCAAACACCCCAAATATTCTGATACACTGTTAGATTATGGATTCTACTTACTCAATGTAGATAATATATGTCAATCTGTTGCAATTTATCAGGTATGTTAAAGGTTACACCTTTTTTCTTGCTACCTCAATTGACTTGCTGACCTGTGTTTAATTATAATGTATTAAGGATACTATACAAACAAACTTCTAAAGCTCCTTCATAAAGTGGATGCAGATCTTTATAGCTAAGTAATGACTAGAAAATTGAATTAAAGAATTATCCACTGGAAGAGTTACTGGACTTTATGTTTAAAAGTACATTTTCCATTTTAGGTTTGCTTGCATTTATAGTTGATTTAGCAGTTGTCATTATAATAGCTACCTTTGTATAGCAATCCATTTAGGCCTAACTCAGTCATTCCAGGTGAATGATGAACTATGGCATTGCCTTGGATAAAGTGTCCTTGATTTTGCAGTTTTTTTCTGAAGAAAGAGGAAAAATTGGCATGATTCCTAAGACTTGAATAACTTTTGCTATTAAGCCATTGCCTTTTATATTCCACTAAACCTTCATCAAATCACGCCTTATAAATGACTTTCATTTTCTATTATGATTTAAATACATTGGGCTTTTTATTTTTCAAAACTCATGTAAGTGTACATATAGAATATATTTCAATTATTTTAGTGTTTTATTTAAAGATTTGTAGCATTATCAAATATTTTCATGACTATTTCAGGCAGCCCTTGATATTCGGCAGTCAGTGTTTGGTGGCAAAAATATCCATGTAGCAACGGCTCATGAAGACTTGGCTTATTCTTCTTATGTTCACCAATATAGTTCTGGGAAATTTGACAATGCACTGTAAGTTCCACGTACCTTTTCAGGGAAAAATGAACTGGGTTTTTTGTCTCCCCCGAGCACAATACTACTTAATGTACTTTAGCAATGAAATTTGTCTTCCTAGCGCTTTGATGGTAGGATGTCTTGAAGTTATTTAAAATCATATACCAATTCATAAGCCATTCATGTAAACTTTATGTGATATAATATTGAGACTTACTAAATATCTTCATGTAGATTATAACTTACCTTATCCTTTAATTTTTTTCTTTGAGTGCCATAATAGCCTCTGGCTACATATAATTACAGAGGATTCAATTCCTGAAAATATCTCCAAACACAAAAGAAATGTTGAGTAAAACACCAGTATTGTTTAGAATGTTGTAGTTGAGCTTATAAGACAGGGAGAAAATCCCATAGGACAATAATGGACACTAAAGTCTAAAGGGGTAGGTGTGGACTCTGGTTCATGTTTTGGGGTAGTGAGACAGTTTAGAGGTTCCTGTATTATTAGGAACAATAATTTGTCTTTAGGAGACAAGACTTTTGATCAACAGAAGACTGAATTAGAATTACAACATTCACATTAAAACAAGATCGAGGCTACATTGTCAGAGAAGAAAATATATGCCCACCAGGAAAGGTCTGATAAGTACCTTGTTCATCTCAGGTTGGATAATCCACAATTCAAAAAGAAGAATGCCTCTTGGCAATTTGTAACTAAGAAGCTATACCTATACCACAATTGAGTTCGGTCACCAGGCATGCAGGAACCCCCAAACTAAGTAAAACAAGATAAAGCAATTTTAAGGCTACATTTTTCCTGAATTTCCTTGCAGAAGAAAATGTAAAGCTTTGGGGATTAACTATCTCAGTTCAAACCATACAAATTACCCAAAGATAATGGCTAAGATATACTGACCGTGAAAAATTACAACCACAAAGGTGATCTTTAAAGAAGTTTCCAAACCTGATATAAAAGAAAGAATTAGTAATATTTTGAAGTGAGAGTGAGAAAAAGCAAAGAAGAAGAAAGGCAGATTTAAAAATTAAATAATTGATACGTGGAAAAACCTGGATGAATCTTGAAAATATTACGCTAAGTGAAGGAAACCAGTCCTCTGTTTCATATAAATTGTACAGACTGGGCAAATCTATAGGGATTTTAAAAGTGGTTGTCTAGAACCTCGGGGCCTGAAGGAAATGTGGAGTGATTCCTAATGGGTACAGTGTTTGTATTTTGCTGTTGTTTGGCAGGGAAAGTGGGGTATCATGAAAATATTCTAAAATTAATTGTGTTGATGGGTGCAAAACTACTAAAAACCAATGAACTATAAACTTTAAAATGGAAAATTTTACATGTGTTATAGCTATTGAAAAAATGGAAAACAAATAGAATAGCCAGAAATAAAAGTAGTAATAGGAATTAAAAATTCAGTGGACAAATTAAACAGCAGCTTAGATGGTACTAAATAGAAAATTGGTGAATTGGAAGACAAGTTTGAGTAATGAGAGAGAAGTAAGAAAGCTTAGTGGCAGATGAAATAGATTTGTAACTTCCATTTGGGGAGATAACCCATAAATTAATAAATAAACATGGCAGCTGAGAATGTGTGCTGTAAAGAAGGCTAACAAATGATAAATGTTTAGGGAGTGAAGGTGAATTTTTTAGCAACTTTTATGTAGACTAGACTAGTCTGGAAATGTGTGTTCAAGGAGGAAGGAATCATGTAGCTTTTCAGGAGAAGAGCATTCCAGAAGAAACAATGAATACAGGGTTCTAAGGTGACGGCATGTTTTGCATGTTCAGGAAACTGCAAGACCTCTGTTGCTGGAGGGAAGGAATAAGTTGCTCTGAGGATGGTAGACAGTGAGGTCAGAAACAAAATGAAAGGTCACATTAAGCCTTAAAGGCTGTAGTACGTACTTGAGATTTTATTCTGAGCGAGGTGAGGAGGTGCCCTATGTCATCTACTCTCATTGGAATTATAGGATCTGATTTAGCTTTCAGGTGGGTAATTCTGTCCTTGTAATGATGGGCTATAGATGAATTAAGGCAATTGGAGGCTATTGGCGTAATACAGATGAGAGCCCCGGATAGAATTTGCAGTCTGGTAGGGGAGGGGGGGGGTGTTGTTTTTTGGTTGTTGTTTTTTTGTTTTGTTTTGTTTTTTCGTTTTATTTTAATTATTTTATCAGGGGCTCGTACAGCTCTTACCACAATCCATACATACATCTATTGTGTCAAGCACATTTGTACATTTGTTGCCATCATCATTCTCAAAACTTTTGCTTTCTACTTAATTTGGCTATATTTTAAAGGTACTGTTTATTTGTAGGATTTCTGATGGCACGAATGAGAGCTAGGTCAGCTAGCCAGAATTGGGAAGCCAAATCTTTATCACAATTTTAGAAGCACTTTCTGTCAATATTACATGTTGTAATATTTTATTTTTTATTTTATTAGGGGCTCATACATCTCTTATCACAATTCATACATACATCAGTTGTGTCAAGCACATTTGTACATTTGTTGCCATCATCATTCTCAAAACACCTTTCTACTTGAGCCCTTGGTATCAACTCATTTTTTCCCCTCCCCATCCTCCCCTCCCCCGTGAACCCTTGATAATTTATAAATTATTATTACCTTGTCATTTCTTACACCATCCAACGTCTCCCCTCACCCTCTTCATCCATTGTAATATTTAAATGCTTAAAAAACATTGTATTTAAAATGACATGACTCTATCTATATTGCAGATTTCATGCAGAAAGAGCTATTGGTATCATTACCCACATCCTACCTGAAGATCATCTTCTTTTGGCTTCTTCAAAGAGGGTGAAAGGTACCCTTTGTTATCTAGTCTCAAGTGGTTTTTAACTGATGATACATAGGACAAAACAGGGGTGTTTAATTATTTCCTCTGATGGTACTAAAATGTCCAGTTCACAGATTGAAAGTACTGTCTGCAGTGCTAATTAATTAAGGGTTTCCTTTGGCTCATGATGAAAGATGTTTACTTTTCTTTGTTAACGTTGTAATTAATAACCTAGAAATTTTCATCTCTCCTTTCATTCACTCATTCATTTTGGAGTAATAAATTTGCAGTAGCTTGGACAGCAAATTGAAGGTGGGCATTGCGCACACCTTCAGCTGTAGAATACAGGATTCTTACACCGGGTTTCATGTCAAGCAAGGCTCTTGCCAAATACTAATTTTTTTTTTTATATTTTACTTTACTCACTACCCAAGACCCCATCATTTGATGCGCTTATTTTGCGAGATCGGATGGGTCACTCTTGAGATAATACCATGCATGTGATGGGATATGTGTTACCTTACTTCTGGAGCTGGTTTTTGTTTCCTTTACTGGGTTTGCAGTGTTGTAGTTGCAGAAGTGCTTAATGTCAAAATTGAAATTTAGATGAAAAATTAAGTCCCCTGAAATCCCACCAGTCCACAGTCAACAGATTGGTGAATGTCCTTTGGGGATTTTCCTTCCTTCAAATAGATAATAAAACAAATGTCTTTCTGTTCAGTTTTATAATCTGCTTTTGATTATATCTATCATGAACATTTTCATTTTAGAACATGAAAGTAGTATATGCCCTTTGTTTTATCCTTACTATTGGAACTTTATCTTGCTTTCAACCTTGTATTCTTTTGAAAAATCCTAAAGCTTTGTTTGCATGCATATACAAGTTTTTCTAGAATTACCTCGTGAAGGATTATAAAAGCTTAAAAGTTTTAGATGGAATTTATAGTTGTGAATGTGACTTTAGCGTTGCAGTGCCTCTTGCCTGATTTGGTTGATCCAAGGGAGTGGGAGGAAAACAGATCTTTTAGTTGTTTGCTAAAAGGTTATGTTTTATTTTGGGGGGGGGTGGCTTATGTTTTATAAAAGCTGGTTTCAAAATTTTCAAAAGTGCTTAGTTACTCCTTAAACAGTTTTATAACTTTTCAAAATTTTCCTATTCCTTCTATTTGATTTTTTTAAAAATTACATTTTTATCAGTAAGCTAAAGCAATCCAAAAAAAAAGAAGTCAATCTACCAAGGAATAAGCTGTACCAGGAGCCTTGGTAAGCACAGTGGTTAAGCACTCAGTTGCTAAGTGGAAGTCAATCGTTTGAACCCACCAGCCACTCCAACCATGAAGAACGTAGCAGTGTGCTTCCTTAAAGATGTACAGCTTTGGAAATTTGGGGGGCAATACTACTTTGTCCTACAGAGTTGCTATAAGTTGGAATTGACTCAGTCACAGTGGGCTTGGTTTTTAATTAATGAACCGCATACCCTTATTTCTTACTTTGAGTTCAGTATACTGTGCAAAGTAGAATGGTGCCCAAAAGTGTATTATTTTGTTGTTGTTAAAATGGAGCACTTTTGTTGGGGCTATTTTTAAGCCATCAGGACAAATAAATGTATTCCACAAACATTTGTAGAATTTACTTTTCAATTCTGCTCTGCTTAGCTTTTGGCAGTTATGATGGTAAAATACACTGATGCCATTGCTTTCTGTACTCAGCACTAATTTTAGAAGAGATTGCCATTGACTGTCATAATAAAGAGACTGAACAGAGGCTGCTTCAAGAAGCTCATGATTTGCACCTGTCATCACTCCAACTAGCTAAAAAGGCTTTTGGAGAGTTTAATGTACAGACTGCAAAACACTATGGAAACCTTGGGAGACTTTACCAGTCAATGAGAAAATTTAAGGTAGAGTTGGTTTTTACTACATTTTTCTGTATCATTATTTCATACTGATTTTTCTCATTCTACGAGAAAATTGAGACAAGTATATAAAATAGCACATTTAAAATATGCCTCGGGAAAAATAAGGTACATATACATCATGTTATAAGGACGGATACAATGAATAGAGTTGAAGCTGGGCTTCAGCCATAGCTCTCAGCTAGGGTTCATATGTTCAGCACTTAGTAGATTTGCAAGAAAGGTTAGATATGGCTACCAGTCATTATCGTAATAAAAAATATACTCACTTTAGTTCCTTTTTAGAATTCTACATTATGAATTCTTAACGTTCTTCATTGTAGGATCACAGTAAAGAACGGATGGTCATTGCCTAAGACAATTGTTCTTTACGCGAAAATTCAATCCACATATTCTTAGTTGGCCTGAGTTTAGTTTGTTGGAATCACAATTGTCAAAAATTTAAAACTAAATGAACTAAAACCTACTCCTAAATTAACCTATTGTGATACAGAATTTCTTAGTGAGATTTAAAATTAATGGAATATGTCAGCTAAAAGGGATCATTTTCATTTTAGAATGTTTTAATGTTAATTTCTTCTAACAATCATTTGTTATCAGGACAAGTTTTCCCCTATTCGCAACTTATATGAGTGGTTTCCAAAAACTAGTAATGCTTCTCTCCAGGGTAGCTTTTGGAATAATAGAGTCATCAGTGACATCTCATAAGATGTCTTTGTTCATTGAGTAACAATTGTTGAAATGAGAGCCTATACAGTCTTAAGGATTAATATGGCTTATTGTGTTTTAGGAAGCTGAAGAAATGCACATCAAAGCAATTCAGATTAAAGAGCAACTTCTTGGTCAAGAAGATTATGAAGTAGCCCTTTCAGTAGGACATCTGGCTTCTTTATATAACTATGACATGAATCAATATGAAAATGCTGAGAAACTTTATCTGCGTTCTATAGCAATTGGTATGTTACCTTTAAATTTTCTTAAGTCAACTGATTAGGAGTCACATCAACTTCTCATTTTAATTTATTAAGGTTTAAATGTGTTCGAAGCTGCTGAGAATAGGAACCACCCCAAAATCATCCAGAATGTTTTGAGAATGTACGGAGAATGGTAATAGAGCGTTAAGTATAGTCAGAAGTAGTTATTTTAAACTCTTCATGCAATTCCTACCTTGCCTCCCCCATACACACACATTTTAAACATCCTAGATCAGATTTGAATGTTTATTTTGTTTGTTTGTTTTTAATTTTTTCCAAAACCTTTTTTTAAAACCGTTTTATTGGATACTAATGCAGATCCATCATTCCATACTTTGATCACATCAAACAATTTTATACAGTTGCTTGTACCATCAGTTTCAAAACATTTGTCATCCTTTTTGAACTCTGAGATATCATCTACCCTTTATACCCCTTCCCACTGTATCTCCAGTAACCCTTATTCTACACTTTGTATATTTTTGTGTCACATATTTTGATGAACACTCATTATAAAGTACATCTGTGCTATTGTATATCATTCCTTATTGATTTCCAATGTTATATAATATTTGATCAATATATCATTCATTCTACTGTTAAAATAAGATACTGAATATTTTAGAGCATGTCTTTTGTGTAAATATGCAAGGATTTCTGACTCGTAGAACTGCCTCATAGAAATTTCTAGGCCACAGCTTCTTAATTACACACCGCCCCTTTTGGCCCAAGAAATTTATAACATGGGCAAGTGCTGCCAGAAACACCTTGGATTCATTAAGCATTTGATTTTGAATTTGTTTTTGTTACATGTTCAGAAACCTTTTACTGTTGCCAAGTTTTCAAATATGCACAAAGATGTTCATTGAAGGATTATTTATAATCAAAATATTTTAAGTAATTTTTTTATATGTGATGAAGGGGAAATAGATCTATGTGCATATATTTCTAGGTTTAGTATTAAGGTAGCAGGTAGACATTGGGTCTCCACTCAAGTACTCCCTCAATGCAAGAACACTTTGTTCTGTTAAATTGGCATTCCTGATGCTCATCTTCTCAACATGATCTCTGAAGACAAAGCAGGTGCATAAGCAAATGTGAAGAAAGCTGACGGTGCCTGGCTATCAATAGATATAGCATCTGGGGTCTTAAAGGCTTTAAGATAAACAAGTGGCCATCTAGCTGAGAAGCATCAAAGCCCACATGGAAGAAGTACACCAGCCTGTGTGACCTCGAGGTGTCGATGGGATCACTTATCAGGCATCAGAGAACAAAAAATCATATCACTGTGATTGAAGGGGAATGTGGAGTGGAGACCGAAAGCCCATCTGTAGACCCTTACAGAAGGGTCTTTGGGAGGATACAAGCCAGTCAGGGTACAGTATAGTAACGATGAAACATACAACTTTCCTTTAGTTCTTTAATGCTTCCTCCCTGCCACTATCATGATCCCAATACTACCTTACAAATCAGGCTAGACCAGAGGATGTCCACTGGTACAGATAGGAATTGGAAACACAGGGAATCCAGGACAGATGAACCCCTAAAGACCAGTGGTGAGAGTGGCGATACTAGGAGGGTGGAGGGAAGGGGTGGAGTAGAAAGGGGGAACCGATCACAAGGATCTACATATAACCCCCTCCCTGAGGGGTGAACAACATAAAAGTGGGTGAAGGGAGATGTCAGACAGTGTAAGACATGGCAAAATAATAATTATAAATTATCAAGCGTTCATGGGGGGGTGGGGGAATGAGCTGATACCAAGGGCTCAAGTAGAAAGCAAATGTTTTGAGAATGATGATGGCAACAAATATACAAATATGCTTGACATGATGGATGAATAGATGGATGGATTGTGATAAGAGTTGTATGAATCCCCAGTAAAATGAGTTAAAAAAAAAAAGTTTTAAGCAAATGAGCTTATGGAAAAGACTGGCTGAATGAACTATGGTTCACAAAATGGGGAGCTTTCTGAACTGATCTGGTATGAGTTACAAAATATTAGCTAATAAGTTTAATTAAGCCAAGTGCAAACCAGTATCTATAATATGGTACTTTTTATGTCAGTGAGAAAACAGAAAAATATTCCTATATATCTGCTCATTTGTATTTTTTTTTTAAAAATTCCGAGACCGGATAAGCCAGTAAACTGAGATGGTCTATGCAGAGTTGGTGAGTGGAAGAAATGCAGGGAAATGAGCTTTCCCCAACTCTGGCTGTTAGTATACTCTTCACAGAGGTATGGTTAAATCCTTTGACCTATGAACCTATTCCAATTTTAGTAGAGGCAGCTGTTTTAGGCAAGAGAAATCTTTTAAAAAGCCACAAAGATAAGTCATAGGTGAGGTTGAGGGGTGGGAGTACTGACTTAAGAATTCAGACTATTTCTTTCAAGGGAACAAAACCAAGCTGAATGTGTTCATTTTACTGACGCCACTTGTTATTGCTTTGTCTGAACTTTCTATTATGTGTCGTTATTTTCAGGGAAGAAACTTTTTGGTGAAGGCTACAGTGGACTGGAGTATGATTACCGAGGTCTCATTAAACTGTACAACTCCATTGGAAATTATGAGAAAGTGTTTGAATATCACAATGTTCTGTCTAACTGGAACCGGTTGCGAGATCGGCAGTATTCGGTTACCGATGCTCTGGAAGATGTCAACACCAGCCCCCAGTCCACTGAAGAAGTGGTGCAGTCCTTCCTGATTTCTCAGAACGCTGAAGGACCCAGCTGCTGAGGAAGGACCTCAGTAAACCCATTTACCTTTTCCCAGATTCCAGGGAATTCATACTGTGAAATCAAAACCATGATGTTTTGGGGGGCTGGAATTTGCATTGAAACGCTGGTCCAGTCCATCGAAGACCCTGCTTGGGTGATCCCTATCTTGCAGAGTGTCCGTAGGAATAGGCATATATTCAGTTATATTCCGCATGTACCGCATGTATAAGTAGTTTGGCCCACATTTTCAGCGTAGTAGACCATACAATGGAAAATCTGGGTGTTTTTTCCCCTCTCTTTTTTAAAATCATTCATTTTACAAAAAGCCTGAAAGACAAAAGAACCCATAAATAAAACGATGTACGAGTTTAAAAGAGTTGCATTCTTATTATGTAAGGATGATTTTAATAATTTTTTAACATATAATTCTTCCATATGGAGATACTCAATACTGTATTGTAAAGACATTTTGAGAAATCTTTATATGCAGTATAAAAATGTTAATACAAATACTAATAAATGAGGGACATCCTTTGGCTATCTTACTCGAGAAGTGGAGCCAACCACTTCAAGGTAAATTATAAGGCAAGGGCCGACATTCATCTGAACTGGACCAGTGTTGATCTGTAAGTAATATCTGATAGGTCAGCAGTTTTAACTTTTTTCGGGGTACAACAATGCAAAATGCTCTGATAGTGTTTACTAACAGGACCAGAAGGACCTAAAAAGGACCAGCCTAATGGAAAAGGACCAGAGGCTTTAGATTATTATTTTAGCCCCTGCATATGCTTTTTTTTCAATAGAGTGATTCATTTAGATGTATAATGAGAAATCATAATGCAAAAATTATATTTGTGTAATAGATACCAGATGAGGGAAATTTGGCAATTTCAGTAGCATATCTTTAGTCAAGGTGCACAGATGGCAATGCCATATGCAAGTCCGTAAATATGGTCTCTCTATATCTGCTGCAGTCACCGCCCTCATTTTCAACATTACCATAATAATCAATGCAGTTTACAATATATTGGCTAAATGTCATACGATAACTCATGCCCATGAATGAAGACTTGAGGTTACTATGTGATTGTCGGGGTTGTTGGGGGCTGGAGGATGGAATGAATGCCCCCCAAATACAGTACATCTCGTAGGAATCCTTTGTTTTTATGGCAAATGCTAGTACAAATTGGTCATTTTAATTGAAATCCAGGAGTCCAGTGGAATGACTCCCTAATGGTACCGCTGTTCCACTAACTGTTCACTGGGTTGGCTGGCTGGTTGGTTTGTTAAGCCAGTTAGAGTTCTCCCTCGTTTTGTTTTTAATGTTGGGGTAATAATCAAATCTGAGGTGTTGTGATATGTAGCAGTCTAAGAAACAAAAGGTTTTTTTGGGTTTTTTTTTTGCTGTTACCTCAATTCTTACTATGGTGGCTCATTTGGGTCCACTATAGCCAAGAATCTGAGTTTTTACCCCCTATTTTCAGGGGTTCATGACTTGGCTGTTAGTGATGTTGCTCCCAACTAACGCTTTGAGTAACTGGGTGAGTGGATGTGTGCTGAATTTTGTTTTTCTTTTAACTTGCACATTGAGTGGGAGGAGGGAGAAAAAATCTAAATTGTACGGAAAATTTGGCAATTTCAAACTCATTTAATTGTAATTCTATTTTTGGACTACCCTAATATAACCTTATTTAAAACTGTTGTTTGCAATCTTGTTAGTTTTGAACCTCTCCTTTTTTAAGTCACCAGGGTAGGCTTGATGGGGGATAGAACTATGGAGATGAAGCAAGCCCAGATCCTAAGACTATAGGGGTGTGATCAAGAAACCTCCATTTAGTCCTTAAATTGAATTGCTTTCTCTTTAAATTTGAGAAAGAGTACATTGGCCCACCCCTGCAGTTTGTGAAGCTGGCGCCCTCCCAGGACTGCAGTCTAATGCCAGCTGGCACTTCTTGGTTCATTACCAGATTGCCTCTGTGACCAAGGACTAACGTTTTAAAGTTACTCAGCTTTATCATAATGGGCCTATATATTTAATATAATACCTCCAAAGATATCTTAGCATAGGTGCTGTATACTTTTTTGTTGGTTACTTGGAGTCCTGTGGTGTGTTTGTGGTATGGGAATGTCATGGTAAAATGTTTTTCAATAAATATTTTTTAACTTCTGTTTCCATATGAAGTTGGGTTTTTTTGTTTTTTTAATCTATGGTTTTGCTTTGTTTTTTGTTTATTTTTATTTTTTGGCACATACAGCACTTCGTAAGATAAAATCAAATAACTCATCCTTTCTGAATTCAAACTGAACTCAATTTAGCTCATACTGAGTGATAAAGTAACAAGGTATTTTGAAGCTTAAGGTCACAGGGTTGGCATTGTAAGATGACAGCCAGTTTTGCTTTTTGGTTGGTAACGTCATTGTTGACAGTTACTCTGTGTCAGTACTGCTTGAATGTGGTTTTATGTAAATTCCTACCTTCGATTTAAGGCAAACACTAGCGCAAGAAAAGTGATGACCTAGTAGGCCATTATTTCTGTTTCTGATGAAGAAGAATAATCATTTTAAGTGTGGGACTTTTCCTTGTCATGGGGATGCTTGGGATAAATCAGATGTGTGGGGTTTAAGAAAATCATGGAAGAACATTTCCCTCACTATAACCCATAGCTTGCACAAACTTCACAGATGGTAGAGTTGTATATAAGGCAGCCCAGGTCACTTGATTTTCCCGAAGGTGCAGCGAAGTAACATTAATTCCAGAGACTTGGGTCATAGCCCTCCCTACCTATACTGCTTCCTTACCACCCACTTTCCAAACGTTTGGTGCTACTCAGGTCACGTGCACTGGGAAGCTCTCCCCACACTTGCATATGCTTCACAGTGGCCAATCACGAACCATGTGGGTTTTTTGAACCATAAACTTTATTAGGGGCCCCCCAAAGCATTAGGACTCAGTACCGTTAAACCTGCCTGCTTGTTTAAAAACGAGCTCAGCATAGCTCTGCAGCACTGCCTTCCTGGGTCTGCTCTCATCTGTGAAAATGAAGGATTTTTCCAAGACAAAAAGACCTGTTCAGAAGAGTTCATAATTTTATAAGAATTGAGTACAGCGGCTACAGTTTTATAAATACTGACGGTGCTGTTTGGCTGTTCCTTGTAGTGCAAACAGAATGTTGGAAAGTAAACATGCCTAAAACAATGACGTTTGGGCCAAAACTAAAAATTGAAAGAACAATTTGCTGAGTATTGAAACCCACCACTTGGCTCCTAGGTTTTTTTTCCCTTGGTGACAGAATTGCTACTGGGGAAAAAAAATCTTTTTAAAATTTTACTTTTTCCTTAAAAAAGTAACACATTTCACTCCTGGCTTTGGAAGCAAGGAACACCTTCACTCCCCACCTCCTGCACTCACATAAACACCCGTCTAACATCTGGATTAATCTCCAGTTTAAACACTAGTAGTGTCCCCAAATCTCAGGAATGTTTTAGGCAGAAAAGTGGTTTTACTCTCTTGATGGACTGAAGGAGTACGCGTTGGGGTTTATTAAATAATACTGTTCTTTAATTGCAATCCTAGGTATCCGTAGCATGAGTGGCCTTAGTGAGTCTGTTGAAGTGCACATTTTTTTCAAAAGTAAAATTTAAGATTAAAAATATATACTATATATAGAGAGATATCTAGAAAACTTGGTTTGTGGTGCACAAGTTAAGTGTTGGATCACTAAATAACCACAGGTACCATTTGTGTAACGTCCATTTCTGTATATTCCTTTTATGGAAAGATACATTGCCATGGTAACTAAACATTTTCAATTTAGTTATACTTTTATGATAAGAATGAATGCTACATTTTATTAAATATTACCAGGTCAGTACTATTTTTATACTTTACCAAGTAACGGGGGATTTTAGTTTAATAGGCTCAAATAAGCTAAGTCCTAATGGAACAATTCAAAACAAATCACTAACAAATCTTTACATGAAAATCCCCACTAATAGTGCCACAGTCATTTCTATAGAAATATAAAGTCATTAATAGGCTTTTGAAGACTGATCTTTATTGTTTTGAGAATGACCTTCCATATCATTTTTCTCTCCGATTTGTAGTGCCCACCATTATTTGTATCCATTCAACCATATTAAGTATGTTTGTAACCAGCATTGTGATATATTCTGTACTTGTATTGCTAAAAATTATTGACCTAATAAATATAGTGTTCCTGCACTTAGAGTGTATCTGTTTTCAGTTTAGTTGTGACCAGTTTCTGTTGGGGCTCGGCGTTACTTAAACTTTGCACTTTTTGTTAGAAAGTGGTGTGCGAAAAACTGGTGAAACTAGAACAAAAGTCCTGTGGAAAGAAAAAAAGGGCAAAAGAGGTACGTGCAAACAGCGTTGGAAGATGAGGCTCATTCAACTACTTTGGAAAAGACGAAGCACTACATTAACTCACGGAGAAATATTAGTCTTGACCCCGTTCCTTTCCTTAGCAGTCAGTGCTAATAGGCCGCGGAGAATGGTGGGGAATAAATACTAGATTTAGCTTGCTGTTCCAACTGTCTGAACTGTAGAAATGTGACATAAGTCATGTATGGAGTCAAATTAGATCTTTGTAAATAATCTACCATGAGCAGTATAAATTGTAAGCATTCACAGGAAATAAAGCCTAACATTTGTAGATAACATTTTATTTTACTTTTTTGAAGATACCATTTTAGACAAAGCCCTGCTTTCACTTGGAATAGCCAACATACTCGTTGTCATGCTACCTTCAGCAGCATGAAATGTCTGGATTTTTCTTTCTGCATCGTCATGACTGAACGTGTGCCGTTTCCTGAGTAAAGGCTCACATTTCTGTCAAGGGAAGCCTTGCCTTGACATTTGAGTTCAGTGGTAAGTAGCAGTGGACGTTAAGCTATTTGGTTTGGAGACAGGTTTGTGGAACACGTGCTGGTGGATCATGCCCCTTTGAAGTTAGAGAAGCCACTTCAGGTAAGTTGCTATCTAGTAATGTTAGTGAAGGGTCACGCTGAGTCAGAAGCAACACAATGGCGGGAGTTGAGTATTAAGAAAGGGAAAGTCAGAAGTTTGAGAAGAGGGCCCTGTCCTGTCAAGGCCAACCAAATAAGTCTGGAAAACTCGTCAAAACCTAACAGGAGTTGTGTTTACCTGAACTGGCCAGGGTTTGTAAGAGTGCATGCCAATTGAGAGAAACCTGATTCAAAGGCCACATACTGTAAGCTTCTATTGAGTGAAATGTCCAGGGAAAGAACTCCATGGGCACCACCAACAAGGATATCCACATTCAGTGGAGGGAGCACAGACTGGAAAGGTCCTAAAATCCCAGATAATGCTCATAAAGGTCTTTGGGCAGGTTAAGCTGACTGTAACGTCTGCAGTTAAAATACACCACCCCCATGACGGGGAAAACCAGGAAGCTCTCATGACGAGTGGTTACCCTGGGCTGTTGACCTGAAAATGAGCAGTTTGAAGCGACCAGCTGTATCACAGGAGAAGGGAGGCTCTCCTGTAAGAGTCTTGGAAACCCACAGGGAGGGGTAGATCTGCCCCACAGGGTCACTGAGTAGACTTGGGCTTGATGGCAGGGAGAGTTTATGAGGGGCTAGTAGTATTTGGTCCTTGCCTCTGCTCACAAAGCTACACATTCTCTGGCTGCAGACTCCCAGGCTACCCTCCTGGCCTCAGAAACCCAAACCAGGCCCATTGACATCAAGCCCATTCCGACTCCCGGCAACCCTCTGAGGTCGGGGGCTGCTTCCTGAGGCTTCCAAACTGCACATCTTCCTGAGGAAGCAGACTGCCTCATCTCTGTCGCTGAACAAGGTGGTGGGCCAGCTGCGGCCCAGTGTTTCTCACCCACAGCCCCACGAGCTCTTTTTTCATAGGAAAGAGAGCAAAGAGAAGGAGAAAACTGGAAACAGGTGGGGTTTGTGTGTGGTTAAAAAAAAAAGTGATAAATGAGGTCGCACGAATATGAGGGAAAGGCTAGGGTATCTCCTTCCTCAGCCCTAACTTTGCCTGGGAGAAGGGTCGCTCTGTCGGATGGGGCTAGAGTGTTGAACTGATAGCACGCAACCAAGCAATCTTCTAGATGTGCTATATTTTAATTGTAGAAAATAGTAAATTTTTTTAAATTAATGTTTAAAAACAAGTGAAAACTGCATGTAAGATTTTGGGACCTTTCCTGGCAGGTGCTTTTTCTGTGTGTATTTTCTATTTCTTTCATACTTCATGTTCATTTTGCTGTCCAGCCTTATTTCCATCATTATTAGATGCACATGAAAAAGTATTTCTAATGACTCATGTGTGTCCCAGTGTGGTTGTGCCATAGTCTATTTACCTCATCCACTATTGCTAGGAATACTAGCTATTTATCAATATGGAATAAATTATCCCAAAACTTAGTGGCTTGAGCAACAAACATTTATCATTTGACAATGCCTGTGGATCAGGAATCCCGGAGCAGCGTGGCTGGCTGGTTCTGGTTTAGGATGTCTCATGAGGTCAAGTCAAGATAGCAGTCACCTTCAAACTTGCCTGGAGTTCGAGGCCTCAGCTCCGGGGCCTCTCCGTAGAGCTGCTCACGTGTCATGACATGCTAGCAGGCTTCTCCACGATGAGGGATCCAACAGAGAATGCAAGGCAGAATCCACAATGTCTATGGCCTGCTCAGGGAAGCCACATTTTTGTCACATTGTACGCATTAGAAGTGGGTCACCAGGTACAATCCACAGTAACTCCAAATCCCAAACTCACTGGCATCGAGGCCATTCCGATTCATAGCGACCCTAGAGGACAGGGTAGACCTGCCTCTGCGTTTCTGAAACTAACTACAGGAATAGAAAGCCTTTCTCCTTTTTGGAACAGTCGGTAGTTTCACACTGTTGCCCTTTTGGCTAGCAAGCAGCTCAATGCAAAGACAATGAAACTCCGCCTGCGTCTTACAGAGGATGTCAGAAGAATGACCTGGTCAAAGAAGAATTTGAAAAGCCAATGGGGCCTCTCCCATTCTGCAGGTCTCGGTGCCCTCCCACCCAGGAGATGGCATCCATCTCTCAGCAAGCTCAGTAAAGCGCCCTGGTGTGTAAAAAAGAAGAAGAAAGAAAAGCCATCGGAAACCCTGTGAAATGGAGCTCATTTCGACTCTGATAAATTGCAGTTGCCATGTTATCAAGTTGATGGCAAGTGGACATCTCTCCACGGCTGCCGAAGCTGCTTTGACTGCCTGCTGTCCAGAAATTGCCTCACCACGTAGTTAGGATGCCTCGTGGAAACCCGGAGCGGAACTTCTCATGTGGCCGGTCCCCACTGCTCATCCACCAGCAGCCGCCCGGTCTGATGTCCTAGATGGGGACTAGGACAGACAGCTAGTGTGCCCTGCGGTGGGGCACCATCACTGCAGCCTCCAGTGCAGGGAGCAGGGCTGAGTCCCCTGGGCTTGGCATCACCTTCCAGGAGCCTCCGGGAGCCCAGCCAGCATAGGAGCAGCAGCAGCCTAGCCCTTGCCACTGAGATGAGTCAGGTTGGACAGTGTCCCCAGAAGCAGGGCCACCTCAAGCTCCGCGAGACTTTCAGTGAGGCGCTGAAACCCCTCTGGCAATTGCGAACTTGCCAATGAACTGGCTTAATCAAAAAGTGCAGGCAGAAGAAATGAGAAACCTCTCATGACCAAGTTAATTCAGCGTAAAAGGATCATTGGTAGTGGCTGTGTAAGGTGCATACGCACCAGTTAAACCTCTCCTCCTCCTTCCTTGCTTGTAAGTCCTTGCGAAGACTTTCGCTCTGAGATGAGTTATTAAAGGGCTTTAAACAGAAAAACCACGTGTGGGCCGACGATTTAGAAGTCTGAGAGCCTACTAAGCTTGAGGAAAACGATCGAGGCTACAAACTGGACCTTCCCTGTGGCTCATTTTGCAGACAGAGCTCCTGGGTTCTGCCTAGTCTTCCCCTTGTCCGGCCTGGGAATAATCCCGTAGCGTCCCATGAGCCCTCTAGGTGGCAGTGCTGCCTCACACACA